TAGCTCAGTTCGTTTCCCTTCTTTTTTTTTTCTCCCATAATGCAATTTGGCGATCGCTGAGATAAGACCTCCATGTTTGACAACATTAATCTATGAGAGGTTTTAAAGCAGACTCTGACAGAGAAGATCTTCTGATGTTAGTTAATGAAGAAATATACTACAAAAAAAAAAACAGGACACAACTTAAATAGGATCAGTTTAATCGGAAAAATATGTCAGTTAAAATTTTTACTTAATTTTTACTTAGTTTTTAGGTTTATGGTCATTTAATTCAGTGGTAAAAATGACGATAAGATGCAGACGATGGCATTCAAAAGTCACTGGATAATAAGTAAACTTGGGGGTGCCAAATTATTAAACTTAAATAAAGGAAAAGTGAGTCATATCCGTATTCTTAAAATGACTGAAATGATTGAGATTGTTTAATGATTAATGCCAAAGCAGCAACAAGAATGCCCTCTGGATCACACAAAGATAAGCTCTGTCCTAATTAAACCAACATACGAGTCACTTGTTCTCCCTAATCTCCCTTTATATATTATGCATGGCAGCTGTTTCGGTTGCCTTGGTACATTTGTGTGCTTCTGTGTGAAAACGTGATGCATTATGCACTAGGACACACCCCAGATGGATGCTTGAGGTTCTGTATGTGTCTGCAGAGGTGGATTCCCTGATCCGTTCTCCAAGTAAGTGCTGCAGCGTTCTCCCGAGAAGACGGGGGGGAGTGATGTGGTTAGTGGGAAGCTGACTGATGCGTAGTGAAAGGGTCGACTGTGTCTGAGGGAATCAGAAAGCAAACCGAGGAAGGCATGACTTCACCGCTGGTCTGCTGACTCCATAGAAGAATGAATACTCACACAACAGGATGAAGATAGTGTATGATGATCTGCTTTGACTCAAAGAAATATAACCTCACAGAAAGAATTAACTGACTGAATCTTAAATACCATTAATGTCAGAACTCATAAGTGTGGACCCAGAATTTCGGGCAGACAGATAAATGTAATTTACAAAAGTGTTTATTGAAAACATGTCGAATCTGCGACTCAGCAGCTAGGACGACAAAGGCCGGTCCGAGCCTAGAAGAAGGAGTGGAATCCAGCCAGATGATTTCCAAGAGCATACAGCGGGTGCCGCCCAGAGAAGGCTGCCAATAAGGCTGCCAATAAGGCTGCTGAACTGGCTGATAAGCAGAAGCAAGCAGGCGAGGGAAGGCAGGAGTTTCCAGAAGGCGAAGGCGAAGCCAGTGTCGACGAGGTAAGCAGGAGTCCAGGCCAGAAGATCAGAGATCCAAAGAGGTGCCAAAGGGAAATCCAAGACTGGATCGGGAGACAGATCCAGGGTCGTAAGCAGGCAGAATCAAGCAGGAGTCTGAAGACAGGTCAGGCAAACAGATCAGAACAGGGACAGGCTCAGAGGTCCAAAGGCAGAACTAGTCAGGATCAGGCAATCAGAAGAACACACAGGGTACGCTAGAGAACTATCACCTAATAATCAGGCACTGATGACTGTGGGCAAGCAGCTTAAATAGAGGCAGGAGCAGGTGGATGAGATAAACAGTTACGCTACATTCAGACCGCAAGTGCTGGACGCAGCAAAAAATAGCCTGCTGCTTCATTTTTGACAGCTGTACACATTGAGGTCAGATGTGACTCAAGAGCAGCTTTGACGCTCCTGAAGCGCACCCAGTAAAGTGTGCCCAGATGCGTCTGATGCTTCTACTGCTCCGGTGTTCAGTGGCAGAGAGCGGCTTTGCTATATTTGCTTTTATAAGTGGGCAAAAATGAATTTTAATATGTTTTTAAGAGAGGAAGTTCAACTCAAAACATAATCTGTGCAGTCAGTTAATTAAAATTACAATCCTGCCCTCTAATAAGAGACTTTAGCTGTCATATACCGTATATATGTGGATGCACTGTATATATACTGTATATACCCCATGCACCTTTTCCTCATTTTGGAACCTTCTTCTTTTTGACTATTGTGCCAATGTGATAAGTACATTTCTCCACTGTGAGATCAATAAAGTCAATTAATCAATCAACCAATATTATTTCATTGCGGGACCAGCACAAGCCCCCGTACATCGGCTGTCACTGGAAATCCCCTTCAACAGCAGCTTTTGCCCGGTCGCCACTTGGAGGTTTTCCGCTACTGTTCTTGGAGGCTGGAAGGAGATGTTAGCGGTTTTTTATGTACGTTTCAGAGTGCCTGTTTCAGAGGAGTGATAATAGCAATCTGTATCAGCCGTGCTGTGTCTGTCTCCCTGCCAGCTCCCAGATCAGCTTCTCTGATTGGTTCATGTGGTGCTTTGAGCAGCAAAAGTTACAATTTTTCCAACTCCAGCATCTGCTGCTTCTGAAGCACGTCACGCGCTGCAGAAGCTCATGAGGCACTGCTTCAGTTTCTTCGATGCATCAAGATGTGCTGCTCCTACTGCCCCAAACAGGAGTTTTTGATGATGCCTTAATATGCGTCAACCATTAACTTTGCATGTAAACCTGCTGCTTCTGCTGCTTTAATGAAATTAACCACTTAGCCAGTCATCAGTGCAAAGATCATGACAATAAAACTACTTTACAGTCCTGTAAGCTTTGCCTCTTCTATTTCTCAGAAGGATGCCTTGTTACCAGCTTGTCCTCTGATCCTATTTATTCTTTTTTTTTTCCCATCTCATTTTATTTATAGGTTTTATTAAGCCATGTATTCTCCTGCCACGACCCAGAGAGCAGTCTTTTAGTTCTGACAAACAGTATCATTAACTTTTTCTGTTGTTCTGTGCTAATAATGATTTGTTTTTTTACTTTAACAGAAACTCTAGAGGACTCATTAAGGCAGTGTGGGGTTACAGCTAGGAAAGTGAACAGATCAGCTTTAATGTGAAGATCTTTGAGGAAATCACAGATCAGTAAAAAAAAAAAACCTCAGTTTCTAAGAGTGACAGTGCTTCAATAGCTACAGATGTATTTATTTTTACTCTGATTTTTATGGATCATGAAACTGATTTTAGTACGAGGCAAAAATAAGGGACTAAAACCAACCTTGACCTTTATTAAACATCTTCTTTACTGAATTGTATTGATTCAGCCAAACTGGAAAGCTTTTAAGGACAAACAGCCAATTAAATGTCAAATCAAAGCAACCTAGTTTTGAACTCAGAAACCTTCATCTAGGTTTTCTTTTGGTCGTTAACCGGTGGATACCATGCAATCATTTTAAAATGCTCTACTTTTGTCTTTTCAGTCCACAAAAGATTTTCCAAAAAGATTTGAGATTTTTAGTTTTATTTGTTCTGCAGTGGATTTAGCCTTCAAATTCACCCATGGAGGCCGTTTGATGTATTGTGGATTAACCAACATGGACTTTAAATGAGTAATTGTGTTTGATTGTTAGACTCCTGGGAAAGTTAACCACTGTTTTCTGTATTTAAGGATAATGACTCTCGCTGCTATTCACTGGTGTCTTAAAAGCCTTAAAAATGGCCTTCTAACCCAGATACATAGTTGTTAACATCTTTGTTTCTCATCTTTTCTTCAATTTTAGGGCAGGGTGAGTTTCTTAATGAGATCTATAAACACACAGATCTATAAGCAAACTAGATTCTGGAGTTACTGAAATCAAACTAACTAAAAATCAAATAAAAATTAAAAAGAAACACTCATTCAAATCAAGTTATCATTATTGCAACATTGATTTTTTTCCGGAAGCTTTTTTCTGCTTCTTGATGGTGCAAATCTGTAACATTTACCCCATTTAACCAGTTCACTATCAGCAGAAATGAAGAGATAATGCTTAGAGAGGCCAAGCTATCATGGAGCTGTAGTTCTCCAAATGCCAGAACACAGCAGTGAGAAGGACCGCCGTGTTCTTTTGTCCTCCCCTGCAGTAAAAAAAAAATAAAAAATCAATGAAGCAGTGAGAGGGGGAAACAGAAAAGCTGAATTTCTGCTGGCTGAGCTTCTAGAAATTGAACTTTAATCTGGGGATGACAGAAAAAAAAGACCCTAAATAAACCATGAAGTAGATTTTTTACTGTTGGGAATGTAGATTTATACAAGACTGTCTCCTTGTGGTTGATCTGCAACATGGCAGCATGGTTATCTAAGAAAACCAGATCATTATTAGGAATTAGAAGGAATAGAAAAGCTTTATTTTTAGCTGCAAAATAAATGAAGAGAATGAGCCTTTTGTTTGCCCTTTTCAATGGTGAAAATTCCAGTGGTTTGTTCAGAATCCCTTCACATCTTCCACTGCAAAAAGGTCTTGGGGGGGCCAACAGGGGCTTGTTTAAATGAATCTAGTCCATGTTACGAAAACACACACAGAAAAAATGTAGATTTTCTTGAAAAAGATGTATTTTCCCTTAATTTAAGCAGAGAGGTAAAATTATTCACCATCAGAATAAGATGATTCCTGTTTAGAATAAAAAAACAACTTTAATGTTATGTCAAGTGCATAATAACCAGTTATCTTATTTTAAGGGGAAAATACTCATTCCCTTGAGAATTTATATACCTGCTCAAATGAAGATTAACTACACTTATATTTATAGGTAGCTGTTTTTAAATCAGTTTTTCCTGGCAAAAACTAACTTAATGTATTATATTCCCTGACTAAAGAACCCATAACCGATTCAAAATCCTGCTTTTACAATTGAATTTACTTAGAAATTGCAGCTTTAAGTTAAAGATGTATAAAGAGTTTTTATTGGTTAGATCAGGGTCTGCAGCCCTGGATTTGTAGCTCACTTGATTTGCTAAACAAACAGCTTTTCTCCTCTGTGCCCCCATTAAAAAAAAAAAAAAAAAAAAAAAATCCCCAACTTGTAAATTTGTTCTAAAAACGCCACTGCTTACTTTTGGCTTTAAACTTATAAAGTAAATAAAACACTTTAAAGAGGGATGAGGCACACACACATCCCTCACAAGAAAAGTTAAGCTAATTCCTAATGAAATTATATAATGTGGAATGTGTGAGGAATAAAGATCTCATTTTGCTGTAACGTTTTAATCAAAGCTGTATCAAGAATTTCACACAAGGAGACACAGAAAGATCACAATACAGTGAGGAAAAGGTTTAAAAGAAATCAAAGATCAAGTGTACAATTTTAGAATCAACAAGTGAAAGCAGCACCTTCCAGGAGTTTGCACCAATTAGAAATCCAAGAACTTGAGGAGTCTTAGCACTCTTTTACTGATCTCAAACCGCATATAAAAAAAAAGGAAAAGATGAAGACCTCTAAGCTGATCTTCAAGCAGGTGATTTATAAAGACCTCTGCATGCTGCTGTAGACGTCCAGGGACTAATCTATGATGCTAACCTGACTAGACATAGAAAATAACATTGTCAGACGCTGCAAAAGTAATTGCATGTACACAAAATGAGGGACAAAAACCTCACAGAATGCAACGATTCACCAATAAAACCAACTAAACACACAAAGACAGGTTTTCGGTTTTATCTCCAGTGGATCTACATGGCTTTAGGTGTAGGAAACATTTCTACCCTTCATATGTCAGCTAACAGTCCTGGGAATGTAAATCTGGAATGTCAGTGTTCTTCACTTGGCAAAAACAAAAAGCATTTTTTTGGTCTCTTCATTCAGCTCCCGTTCAGTTCATTCACCCAGAAACAATGTCTTTTATTTCCCCATTTGCATTTGTTTTGGTTCTAATTTCAGATTATTAACCTGGTTGAAGAATAATCCGCATAAAACCTAAATAATCACAAAAGAAGCATCAATGCAAACGTGGATCCATGCAGCAGAATGTTTCTTTCTTGTAAGCCAAGTGTAGTTGAGCCAGCTGCACCTGCAGTGCACAGCAAGTTTTAGATATGTACAACACTACGTTACTCTTACAGTTAGAAATCAGTAACCAAGGTAGACAGAAGGAACCAGAAATTATTTCATACCATCTGTTGTGTACAAAAAGGTTCCCCATCAGCTGATGGATGGTTGCTATGGTAGATAACTCCATCCTCTCTTTGTAAATCAGAGAATCTTCACCAACACTTTGCTTTTATTTCCTGAAAATCCATAATATTTCCCTGTACTGCCATCTGGACCCATCTAGATCTGCTGTATTTCAGAATCCGTCATAATCTCAACTCTGAACTGGATTATCTTGCATCAAATTCTGATTCTTTAAAGCGTTATATGTGATACATTCGTTTTTCCTGTTTGAATTCTGTCACTTTCAATACTTCTCAGGATATTTTGCTTCTTCAGAATGAAGAAAATTAACGATTCAACTGTAAAGAACCTCAAAGAAGAGCTGAAGGAGTTTTCCAAATGTTAGATCCTCTTCCAGACTGTCGTCTTTGTTGGTATAAGCCGACTCTTTTGGAATCAGGCTCAGTTATTCAGTCACTTAGACCCAGATTGCTGTTAAACTAACAGATTTTTGTTGAGTTATTAATGCCGGTTACTGCTGAATCTACTGGATCTCTGAGGAGATGCCGCCTCTTCACCACATGAACCTCTGTGTGGCCGTGCTGTCTGGCCAGTGGAAGGTTTTCGCCACAAAGATGTAGATGGTGGCTGCGTTAACGGCAGTGTACAGCAGGAACTCCACGACCAGCCGCGGAAGAGATGGGAGCGGCATGTGGAGGCGGTACATCAGGTACGGTACGATGAAGTACCTAAACTCCAGGAGCTTCTGGGGAACCGTGGCGCACAGGAGACACGCCAGGTAGGCCAGAGTCCAGAAGAGGGAGCGGGACTTAAAGGAGTCTAGAAAGTTCCACCCGGCAAAAACGTACGCCGGGACGAGGAGAAAGCGAACCAGCTCGTGCCTCTGGAAGACTTTCTTCCACACGTAGAAGGGGAAGTGACGGTTATCTGCCAGGAGGTACTTGTGGACAAACGTAAACTTCCAAACGAGGAGCAGGGAAACAGTGGTGACGAAGAGGAAGAAGAACGGCTGCTTCCTCAGACCATGGAGGAAGCGGAGGGCGCGGTGGTAGCAGAGCGAGACGGGGAGGGAGAAGAAGAGGGAGAAGGAGAAGAAGTAGAAGAGCTGGGGGAGGTTAAGGCAGGCTTCGTGGCTCGTCCTGTCGCCCACCACTATCCCGTCGTTCAACAGCACAAACGCCAGGAAAGCCACGCCCACCACAGCATAAGGCCAGGCCACCTGCAGCACCGCCTTTACGTGTCCAGGCGAGGTGAGGAACTCCAACAAGAATCCCGTCACTTTCTTAGCCCCGCTCAGCGACAGAGGAACCTGTGAGGGTGGAGACTTCTCATCTCTCTTCTTCGAATGCTCCGTCCTCCAGGCCTCGTCCATCTTGGTGGCCACCAGTGTGCCGGCGCAGAACGCCACCCAGATGATATTGGTCTGGCGGAAGAGCACGGAGCAGACGCCGAGCAGCGCAGAGGCTTTGTGGCAGCCGTACAGCGTCATGAGGTACGCGAAGAGGATGAAGAAGGTGGAGCCGGCGTCTGTGTAGTAGAGGAAGTTGAAAAAATAAAGCACAGGGAAGGTGGAGAGAGACAGCGCTGAGAGGACTCTCCTGGTGGTCGTTCGGGTCTGAAAGAGAATTAAAAACAGCGTTAGTAAAGAGGAAAAAAAACAACAAACCTCACCCCAGGAGCCAGCCTTACCTTCTCCCTGTGGTGGAGCTTGGAGATCAACAGGTAGATCAGGTAGAGGTTTCCACAATTAAACAGTAGGTTGATGAAGCGCAGCATGGCGGTGGAGCACACTACACCCCCTGTCAGGTCGGCGAGCCACACCATCGGCTTGATGATGCCCACTGAGACCAGGTAAAGGCCAGGGAGGGTGGTGATCATGGGGTCCCACTGCAAACAAAAACAAAAAAAAAACCTTCAGTAACATCTGGACAAAGCTGTAAGCATCCATCCGTTACATTTAGAGGTTTTACTTGCTTTCAACAGTCTGTTAGTGAGATTAAAGCCTCTTCAAGCTGTCACGTGTCTCTGGTCAGATAACAAAAGCTCTGGTTTTAACCTTAATCCGTCACACTAATGGAGTCCTACTTACCTCGTTGAATTTCCCCTCGCAGTATCTCTGAGCCTGCGGGACGTGGAAGATCTCGTCCATATAAGGCTCCCTCTGCTCTCGAGTCACTCTGGAAAAAAGCAGGCAGGACACCAAGAAGTTGGTGCTGCACAGAGCCGTGAACATGTATCCTTCAAATTTCTCCATGTTTTGTTTTTTTTCTTCTTTCCTTTTTACAACGAAACGCGACAAAACAGGCGGTTCGGTCCGATGCTAGCTGTTAACCTTATGCATATCGCGCATGGCGACCAGGTTCTAATATTAAAGCCGCTGCGCAATACAAAATCAAAGCTGAAATGGCAAAAATGTACACAATAAAAAAGGAAACCAAGGTGTTAGGATTTTTTTTTTCAACAGCTGGAAGTTCGCTTTAAAATTTAGTTCGGGTGGAAACAGCTTCATACTCAGTAGTTCCCAAAGCTTCCTCTGATACGTTAGTGCCGTTCTGCGCATGCGCAGTCAGCTGATTTGTGAACGCGCAACCAAAAATACATCAGGGTCGTCGTCGATTTTATTTAGTTAAAAATGCCTAAATGAAGTTTTCCCTCCCTCAAAATAGTAAACGTAGTAAAATATAACGTTTTAAAGGTTAATAATGTATTTCGTGGTTAAATAAATGCCTTAAAATCTTTTATGTTTTATCACTTGTCTCTGCCCGATCTGCACCTGAAATGGGACGCTACTAACTTTTTCCGCTTTAGATTTAAACATAAATCTAGTCTTTTTGAGTTTTATGTTTTCATTTCGTGTTAACTTTATGGTATATAGTGCGTAATCTAAAGAAAGAAACAACAAAAAGGCAGATAGATATGGTTTAACCATATTTTGCCGGACTGCTCTAAAGCATGCCCCATGATGACGTCAGAAAAGCGGTTTAACGAAAAAAATTTTTAAAGCCTACAAAATTCATAAAACATATTTTTTAAGATTTGCATTAGCATTCCTTTGTGAGTTAAGGATAAAAATAAGTAGTTTTAGTACCATATATATATATATATATGGACACCCGGATTTAATTAAATTAATTTTCTTTCTCGCCACTCACAATATGGCGGACGCGCTCAAGAATCATCTGTACAGAACAAGTTCGGAGACGACTATTCCATTCTGGCTCAGAATAATTAAATGACAGTATGAATAGTATATAATTTTATGGTGTATTTAAAAAATAAATAAATAAATACTGTTTTCTGCAGACGGATATTTTGTTCCTAGCTGTGTTGCAGTATTATTGTTCCCCCTGCATGTGTCAAACGTGACGACGCGAGATCATTTTGTGGGGTAAATGCTCTGTGCTTACACCTGTATGATTTTTCAGCATGCACCTTACGCAATCACTGGAGCTTTACCCCGACACCAGGGTGACGCAGGTGCTTTTTAAAGATGTGAAAAACGCTGCAGAACTGAGGCAGAAAGCGGTGGAGGGAAAAATCAACGGAGCTCTGATCAACCCAACCATGGTGAGCCTATTTTATGATTACCTAGAAAAACATTTTTCCATTTTATCCACTTTTAAAATCACCAATATTGCAGGTTTTTATATGTATACTGCAGTGACAACTTAGATGTAAAGTGCAGCTCTTTTTTTTTTGGATTTGCAGTTGGTGGATCCTTTCCAAGTCCTTGTGGCAGCCAATAAAGCTTTTCATCTATACTCCATTGAAAACATGAAGACAAGAAGTCTCAATTCAGAAATCATCTTCAATTTGTCACCCACTAATAAGGTGCGTACTTATTAAAGTCTTAATATCCCCTTAATACATATCATCATCATGTCACAAACATCTGCAGATTTTAAAGGAAGTTTATGTCAACATGGGTAGCAGATTCTTAAGATCCTTTTCCCATCGGCTTTAAGCAAATTCCTAGTCAAAGCTTACAAAAAGCATCCCATCAGCACAATGGTGGCATCAGGGAATTATGACTGGATTGGGCGTTGGGCAAAGGGGTGTCCTGAGTTTTTATAAAGAGAAGTTCAATGACATTTGATACGGCAAATATTAGTATTATAGATATCAGATAAATACTGATCCCAGGCTTTTATGGTTGCCATAACAACAGCTCTGCTTTGGCTCTCAGCCGACAGCAGCACACCTTTTAAATTTAACTGTGCTAAAAAAAAAACTCACAATGTTCATGAGCATGATGATACTTAAACCACCATCTTATTTCTTTTAGGGTAAATAAAGTAATCTTTTTACATGGTATTGTTGATAATAGGATCGATCCAGACATCTCTAGTTGTTAGAATTCAGATTTTACTGCTAACTTCCTGTGTGCACCAGGTTGTCCCTCTATTTGCACTGTATGGGTCATATATGCTGTTGTTGTCCTGTTAGGGTAATGAACCTGGCAGGCTTCTGGTCCTGGGCTGCCACGCTGCCTCAGCACATAGTTGTGCAGTTGTGGCGCTATGTTTGGCGAAATCTGTATTTTAGGCTTTTTTTTTTTTTTTTTTATTTACTTTCAAGTGATGGTGGACTGGGTAAATAATCTGCTTCATTTTCTTCACAAGCCCCTGTCGCTCTCGTAACAAGGAGTTTGTTATCTTACCCATCAAATTGCGGTGGTGCAGATCCAGGGCTAGTTTCACCGACATGAGAGCACACAAAGCAAACATTAATGCCCCAACTTGATGTGACTTTTGGATAATATGTTTTTCCTCTTTATATTTTTTCTTATATCATTTTGTTATGGTTAATCATGTAAAATCCCAGGTAAGTATGGTTGAAATGCAACATAATATTATGTGTGAATATGTCTTGGTATTGCCACCACATTAACCTGATTTTTAACTCCTGGCGATGCAGATATCAGAGGCTTTCAAAAGATTTGGCATCGCGGACAGAGACACCTCGGTCCTGGTGGTTGTGGTTCACAGTAAAGACGAGCCGCAGGCTGTGTCGAACATCACTGCCATGGTGGATGGACAGCAGCTTCCAGTGGACCAGGTTTCCTCATTGTCAGACTTGGAAAAAATCAGAAAGGTATCAGCATGTGAATCTAGGTGTGCTTTAATATGGAGGAGAAAAAAAAAAACACTCAGTAAAATAAAAAAGGCTTTTGATTCACCAACTTGGATCTCAGGAGTCTGACTACTGTTGAATCTCAGAGAGTTTTTTAACTTTATCTAAGGGAATTCTGTGATTAAATCAGAATTCTGAGACTGATGTCAGAATGCTGAGATTAAAGTCAGAATTTTGAGATTAAACTCAGAATTTTCAGAATTAAGTCAGAATTCTGCGAATGAAGTCAGAATTCTGAGATTAAAGTCAGAATTCTGAGATTAAAGTCAGAGTTCTGAGATTAAAGTCAGATTCCGGGATTAAAGTCAGTATTTTGCGACTGAGGACAGAATTCTGAAATTAAAGCCAGAATTCTGAGATGAAAGTCAGAATTCTGAGATGAAAGTCAGAATTTTGAAATTAAAACCAGATTTCTGAGATTAAAGTCAGAATTTTGAAATTAAAGCCAGAATTCTGAGATGAAACTCAGAATTTTGAGATTAAAGTCAGAATTTTCAGTATGAAGTCAGAATTCTATGATTAAAGTCTGAATTTTGCGACTGAGGTCAGAATGCTGAGATTATAGTCTGAATTTGAAAATTAAAGTCAGAATTTTGAGATCGAAGTCAGAATTTTCAGAATTAAATCAGAATTCTGAGAATGACATCAGCTTTCTGAGACTGATGTCAGAATGCTGAGATTAAAGTCAGAATTCTGCAACTGACTTCAAAAATCCGATTTAGGTCTGTTAAGGGTGTACAAAAAGTTTTTTTTTATCAGGCATGGACCTTTACCAGAGAAGGACCTTTATATATATTTTTTTAATTGAATTGAATTAATCAGAACTATGCAAAAGTATGATCTGAATGTTTTCCAGTTGTCCTACAGAAGTGTGCAGAGGCCAAAATATTATGCTTTTAGTGAGATGTGAGCTGGCAAAAAGAACTCATCAGCAGATAAGATGGCTTTATTTTTGAGCATATTTTAAGTCATATTATCCTTTATCTTTGTTTTCCTTTCTGTCTCCTTACAGCTATACAAAGTCACGCCTCAGGAAGAAACCTGCGGCAGCCTGTTAGACGCTATCGTATGCAGGATGGCCGTTAAGGATGTCCTGTAGCCAAAGACGCTGCCGCACAATCGAACATCTTTCTGCTTTCATTACAAATGAGAAAAAAGAAGGAATAGTTCGATGTTTTCAATACTCTGTGGAATTATGTTGAACACCTCCAAAGCTCCTGGGTTCAGGAAAGTCTGTGACGTTTTAGTCTGTTTAAATCTGTTTTTATTTAGTTACTGGATTTCTTTTCTATTATTTTTATGATCTTGAAGCTGTTTTGGGGGAAATTCAAATATAAATAGATTTTCTACGACAGCACGTCTTCATTTGCTCCTTTTTACGTCTCATTTCGAACAGATTGAAATCCGTTGGACAGTAGGAGGCAGTAAACTTATCAGATTTATTTAGATGCTTAATTGGATTTATTTTGGATCCAGAAAGAGAAAAAGAAACTACTAGGAAAAAATGAGTTTGTACTGTGTGAAAGAGCTGAGATATCAGGAAATAAACTTTTTGTCTTGGTTTAATGTGTAGAAAATCTTTTGAGTTTGTTCAGTCTGGAAAGTTGGCCAGTTCGTCTTTTCCCACGTTCCCTCCGCTGAGGATGCAGACCACCTTCTTCCCCTCCAGGTCGGGGATCTTGTTGCTGACCAGAGCAGCGAAGGCAGCTGAACCTGCCGGCTCCACCACCAGCCCGGCTTTGAAGAGCGTGGAAACAGCTGCCTTGATTTCCTCATCGCTCACCAGGATGATCTGCTCCACGTAGAGCTGACACAGCTCAAAAGGTAGCCTGCCTGGAAAGGAAAGGAGAGCCACTATTTGGTCACCGCTGCACGTTAATCCTAGTGATTCAGAGCAGTGCGCTTGTGCTCAGCCTTCACTCTGCATTCCTGAGCATCTCCCAAAGGGATGGGTTAAAATGCAGAGAGTGAATTTCCCCATTGTGGGACAATAAGGGGATTTACATTTAAATATTCTGGATTAAAACCCTCTAGTATTTTCCAAGTCTGAAAAAGAAAATTAGAAGTATTAAAATATTTGCATTTCCAGCAGGGATACACGATACATTAGCAGTAATATTTGCATCTGCAAAAGTTTTTAATAATTTTTTATTTTTAATTATTGGCCCAATAAGTAAAGCTAGGCTGATATTAACAGATGCACTGCAAAAACGTTCTGAAATTAAGTAAAAATTTCTTAAATCAAGTGTATTTACCCTTAATTTGAGCAGGTAAATAAGACAGTTTGCCAATGGAATATATTTTTACACTTCAAATAAGATAATTAGATAATATGCACTTGAAATAAGACAATGCAATTGATTTTTCGTATTTCAAATGTAAATTTTCTTTCTCCATTGGCAAAGTGTCTCATTTACCTCCTCAATTCAAGAAATAATGCATTTATTCGAAGAAAAAATTACCTATTTAGATTTACATTTTTTGCAGTGTGAAATTCGCTTCCATGTAGTTTGTGAGTTTTGGGGATCCATCATGTGTTATATGTTTGGTCATATAAATATCCAACAGGTAAGGAAATATATCCTATATGACGGGTCTGCAACATGCGGCTCCACAGACCTTACACATCTGCTTTTGATAACTCTAAAAATGAAAGAGAGACAACTAATAATTTTATATACAAAATAGAAGAATTCATTTTTCAGCTGTTTTTTGCTCTTGGAATGAGGAATTGAATTCCCAGCCATGCTGATGGTAAAAATACCTGAAATTATCCATTTTAAAAAATGTTATTATATATACATAATTGTCTAAAAATATAATATTTTATAGAAGATAAAATATACATCCTTTTAAAGTTCAGTTTTTCTTTATTCAGACCTTACAGTAGAAACTGAATGATTGGAGTTTTAAAATGCAAACAACTTTCCTGTAGTAGATGTTTTCAAAGAAAAACAGATTTTCCATTTTATAAAAAGCTGGAAGAGCTGCAGCTCTAAAGTTTTATTTAGCCGGACTCTAATATAGGACATCAATAAAGATCAGTTATTGGTTATAATAGCAGTTTTAGTATTGATATAGGGCCAGATTGTCATCTTGCTGCATCCCTAATTTCTAGTTAAATTCACTATCCCATTAGGTTTATATCCTTTCTTCTTGTATGCAAAATGTTTGACAAATAGGTTGCCAATCCACTTTCAACAGCAGGCAAATGTCTAGATTGGCTTTGTAAGCCCCACAACAGCCAGAGTGTATGGATTTTAATTTTTTTGTCTGGGGAACCATAAGTGCAAGAATGCTATCCATCAATTAAGTAATTTTAGATTCATCTGGAAACTTTATTTCTGAGATAAATCCTTTTTCATACCTTTGATTTGTCTTTTTACTGTTTGTTTTTTTCCTTCCTTTTTGTCACCCTTGTCTCCCAAATTTTATCCTTCCTTGACACCATATTCTTTGGTCCTTTCTTATTTTCCTCCCTCAGTCCTTCCTTTTATCTAATTTTTTTCTTCCCATTTTACCACCTACGGTAGTTTCCTTTCTTGTAATTTCTTCTTCCTTCAATTTTTTTTTTTATCTTGTGTCTTTTTCTTTGTTGTTTTCTTCCTTATTTTGCTTTTTTATGTCTGTCCTTCCTCCTTTTCTTCCAATCTTTCCTCCTTATCCATGTTAGAACCCTGCTGCTTGGACTGAATATTATTTCTGCTATTTAACTCAATGCATGTTTGTATTTTTAAAGCAAATTTAAATGTAGTATTTTCCCTGCTTTCATAGTCATCTAATGGATTTTATTTTGAGCTACCATTTCAACGGGGTTTAACTGAGAATGCTTCACACTTTTATTAGGTTTAATATAAAACAATATACAATTAAAAAGACCTGAAGTTTGCTGGTTTAATGACTAAACCAGAAAAAGACAGAAAATGTTTATAATCAGTAGCTACCTGTTAGCATAGATATAATCCGAAGAAACGAGGACAAACCTGCAGAAGGAGGTGCAAGCCCAGAGGCGATGCTCTTTGCATCCATCCACACTGGCTTCTTCTCAATAAAGCTTTGGTACATCGTGCATGCTGGTTGTTAAACACAAAAACACATTCTGTGAAATTTAAACTCTGCCCCGATGGTCTATTTCTACACATATTTGAAGCTTCACTTTACCTCCTTCTGGTTCAACACCATAGATCCGTGTTTTATTGAGCCCTGACAGCTTGATGGCAGCTGCAACCCCGGATAGCAGACCACCCCCACCACAGCAGACCACCACCACATCCGGCTCCGGGACCACCTCCAGCACCTCCAAGCCCAGGCTGCACATGCATGATAATTGGGACAAAAATCAATTCCCTTATTAGGAACCTTAAAAATTCAGTGTCTTTTTTGTGTGATTTCATGCAATCGACCAAAACAAGGTAGTGCATAGTTGTGAAAATGGAGGAGAACATAGGTTTCTGGGTTTTTAAAAGTAAAACACTATATATATATATATATATATATATATATATATATATATATATATATATATATATATATATATATATAAATAAAACAGCGATGTACCCATGCATTCAGTCCTCTACGCTCCCCTGAAGGAAAGGTAAGGATGATCAGAGCTGATAGAATGAAAGGAGGGTAATCTAGAGGAAAATACATGCCACACTTTTCAGATTTTTCCCGGTTAAAAAAAGAATCCTAAAAAAACGGTTTCCGTTTCCCTCTATTTCACTTTTATGTGCTACTTTGTGTTGGTCTACATTGAAATTTCTTGACAAAATGTAATAAACTTAAAAGTGGGTTGCAGAAATTTGAAAAGCTTGTCTATAAATCGAGTACCTGGCGTGTCCAGCTATCAGATCCAGGTCATCGTAGGGGTGCAGTAAGGTCATGTTGTCCTCCTGAACACAACGGTTCACCACACTCATCAGCGATGAAGTGGGAACTCGCTCCACTTCCACCCCAAAACTCTGAGGATAAGAATAATTTCACAACTAAAATGAAATAATCCAACAACACTGGCTTTATTCGGATTTCCCTTTCTGAGGCATGTTTTTCAGTCTGACCTGGATTAAGGTGGCCCTGGACTCTGGGGCCGTTTCTGGCATAACCACCTTTCCCTTTGAGCCGTAGTGCTTTGAGGCGTACGCAAAAGACTTCCCATAGTTCCCTGCAGACAAAGTCACGAAACATCCTCCTCTCGGTCTCCTGGAGAACTGATTGGCCACTCCTCTGATTTTAAAGGACCCTGTCACCCAGAAACGGGAGTCATGAGGGGGTCAGATGTATGGGTTTAGATCAAACATCAGCTCCCACTGACCGGTTCTCTGCATGTTTTCCATTTTGATGTGGACGCTGCAGCTGACGTTCAAAGGCAGCGTGGTCTGACACCAGGGGATAATGGGGGTGTTTATGACACCCAGCGGGCTGCTCCTGACCCTCTCCCTGGCTTCTCTCAACAAATCCAGGGTGACAGCTTCTGCAGACACATCACCCATCTGGGGAAACCAGCAAAACAATGATCAATATCATTTTCGAATGATAAAAATGCATAATGTCTGTTTTTTCAATAAACATTGGAACAGTAAACCCATTAAAACCTTCATTTAAAATACGTCAAATATTTAAAACGGCCAATCACATTATAATCAAAGTATCTATAGAACAGAGGCATAGCCAAAAAAATTTATAAGGGTGGCCAGGCAATAACCAATGTATACTGAGGGGTGGCCAATAATGGATAAGCACCAGAACCTCAGGACCAGAACCTCTTTACCCCATAAAACACAAAAACTAATTCTGAAAAGAGCAGGAATTCTTTACTTACCATCTTTAATGTTACTATATTGGTGTGCATAATTAACCACAGTGTTTTTGTTATCAAGTAATTATGAATATATGAAAAAATAGTAAGTAATATATGGACAATTAAAATGTTTGGAATATTCCACTTGATTATTAGTGGGGGAAACAATGGTAGGGCTGGCCAATGATTGGCTAAGGGTGGCCATGGCTCCCCATCTAGCTCCGCCCCTGCTATAGAACAAAATAAAATGTTGATCTTCTACAATTATTTCTATTTGCAAATTCTGTTTAATATTAGTTTTTTTGTTTTACTTTATACTTACCCACTCCCCCCACCCCAATTTTGTATCTAATATTTTCTCTATTTCTAATGTAATTTGTATCATTTCCAGTTGGAAAACACTCGTTTGCATAAAATTGCTCAGTAAATAAAGATTAGATGAGTGACTATTATATTATAGAATCATAAAAGTAATATGATTCGGCTGTTTTTTATATAATAAATAAAAATGTTAATGTAAACAAACGGTTTTCTGAAGAAATACCCCTTAAATAAGGCACCATATGATCTGTATGTTTGGGAAACTTTACACTGACCTTATTATTATTATTATTATTATCAGCTGCTGTTTCTGCGGTTAAGATCCCAGCGGATGAATGGACAGCTGTGTGTTATGGAGAATATGAAGGTGGAGGGAAAAAAATATAAAGTATTCAAGTGAGCAAATCAACGAATCGAGAAACCTTTGCCCATACAACAAGACTAGAAGGTGGGACCTTCCAAAGGGGCGTATTTGCTGCTGTCAGGTCAGCGTTCCGAGCGGAACCAAAGAGCGCCTCAAGTCGGACATACTTTCAGGAGGGACCCGAGTATGTTGAAACGAGTTAGCTGCTATTTTCAAAGTTACGCAAGCTTTAAATGAATACAGTCGTAAGTGTAAGGTTTTATAATTGTCGGGAACGACATGGGGTTGATAAGACACGTCGTGTGCGCCATGTCAGGTGGCGTGGACAGCTCCGTGGCGGCTCTACTGCTGAAGAGGAGAGGTGAGACATTCCGTGGGGGGACAGAAGAGTTTAAAACACCACCCCGGTTACCTCAATCGAGCTTTGTGTTTTATTGTTAAATGTACTGTAAAACCATCATATTATAGTTTGTTCTTAAATGCTGTGGATATTTGTCACTTTAAGGCTATAATGTGACGGGGGTTTTCATGAAGAATTGGGACTCCCTGGATGAGAGCGGAGTCTGCAGCACAGAGAGGGACTGTGAGGACGCCTACAGGGTGTGCCAAATGCTGGACGTCCCCTTCCACCAGGTGTCTTACGTCAGAGAGTACTGGCATGACGTGTTCAGGTACCCAACTTGTCTTTTAAACAGGCCTCTCAACACTGAGCTTAAAGTGAAATTCCAATTACACTCAACAAAACCTTAATTTTATCTAAGTGAAATCTAAGTGAAAATTACAGTTTTCTATAAAACCTGAATTAGAACTCAAGAAAAACTGATAAATTCAGCTGTAAGAATTGGAGCAATTTGTTTAGGAAAAAAAAAAAAACATTTAGCAGATGAAAACTGGGATCCTATCTCAATACCAGTGAAGCTATCAGCTTATTGCTCTTAAATAATTAGAAAAAAAACAGAATTTTTAAAGAGAAAAAATTCATAGATCCAAATGACCTATCAGTAACTACGGTATGTCTGTTGCAGCGCATATCTTCATTAGAATTTCTTTGAGTATAATTTCTTCAGTACAGGGGCAAGGACATGATCTACAGGGGCACTGGCCCCTGTCTAGAACCGCCCATGCATATAACATACATCAAAACAGTCTGAAAAAGGGTGTATTTGCAGAAGCAAGAAGCTTATAATGCCCACCTTCCAAAGCCAATTTACATTGGACTAGAAAGCAAATGAAAAATAAAAAGATGGCTACCATTTATAATGCATACCAACATTTGAGGAAAAATTATTATTATACAATATTTTTTTTTTAAATCAAAGCCCTTTTATTACAGTTTCCTTCAATGATCATTATAATCAACTTTAAAGGATTTATTCATTCAAAAATCCTATTTAAACTGAACATCTCTGCCCAATAAAAAGCGTAATTGATGCAGGTTGTTGTTGGAAGCATGGATTTATTCTGTAACTTATTTTATTACCACCCTTTATGAATATGAGAAAATGTGATTGCATCTATTTAAAGCTCCACATATTTTCACTCTATAACTGCACTGTACCTACCTTCTGTCTATTGATTTTGTTTTTCTTAATTTTTTTTTTTATTTAAATTTTTTTATATGTCTATTAATTCTGAATAATATGTGTTGTGACTTAATTTCTCACTGATTTCATCACATTTTGTGTTTTGGCCCTTTGTGGAGCTAAAATAACTTCTCATATATTTCTTTCATGATCATCCATTTTGTGCTTGGCATTACGTAATTACAAATGATGCACTTACTAGGCGGAATAAAAAGTAATTCCCATCAAATGTACAAAAGTATCAAAATTTGAATAGAAAAATCTATTTTAGAGCCTATTGTTCTGCTTTCTATGAGTTATCTATATGTTAGGATCAATCCGCACATATAATAGAATGTGCATGCATTTGTTTAAGAGTGAGAAATTCAAAGTGAGGCGTGTGCACATGAAATGCATGCATCACACTGTCGGTGCGGGAGAGTTTAGAGTCCTGGCAGTGTAGCTAATATTCTGTCTTCATGTGTTATAATCGTCTCAAATGTTTTTGCAGCAATCTGCTGAAAGAATACGAAAAAGGCAGGACGCCAAATCCTGACATACTCTGCAACAAACACATCAAATTCAACCATTTCCACAAGTATGCCATACACACTTTGGGTAAGAATGCTTTCTTTATTTCTGATATTTTTGAATTATTGAATAAGCTAAATTGGTTTACATGCAGCTAGAACATTTCTACGTTCCCTTAAGGTTATGCATATATTAATCTGGAAAGTAAATAATCAATTGGGAAAGTAAATTATAAGTAGCCTATTAGTTTCAAAGTATTATGTGTACAATAATAAATATAATACACTTTTTTGTTAAGTCTTGAACCCTTTTTTGCAGGCAGTGATTGGCTAAAAATCATTATTATTTGCTGTCTGTGCAAACAAGAGTTCTCCCCTTGTTTAAGGTGCTGATGCCATGGCAACGGGCCACTACGCCAGGACGTCCCAGGAAGATGAAGAGGTTTTCCTCCAGTCTCACTCAGCTCCACCCACCACACTGTTCAGGGATCGATTCGAGATCAGAAATCGTAAGAGTTCCGCTCTGATTTCTGACAGATAGATCTTGTTTTTTTTTGTTTTTTTTCTCCAGCAGATCTGTTCTTGTAAAACCCCGTGTAACTTTGTTCCCATTAGCTGTGAAGCTGTGCAAAGGGGCCGACCTCGTCAAAGACCAGACCTTCTTCCTCAGCCAGATCTCGCAGGACGCCTTACGTCAAACCTTGTTCCCGCTCGCCGGACTCACTAAAGACTTTGTCAAAAAGATGGCAAACGAAGCAGGGTTTCATCATGTGCTGAAGAAGAAAGAGGTTTGGAAAAACATTTCTAAATCTAGTTTTTATTTCCTACCTTTTTATGCTAAACGTGAACTTTAAAACCTGTATTTCCAGAGCATGGGCATTTGCTTTATTGGAGAAAGAAACTTTGAAAACTTCATTTTAGAGGTGAGATTAGGTTTTTGTTTTTCTTTTTATTCTCCTCCTCTGGCTCTAGATTAAGCCTAACATCTTGTTGCCTAGAAAATGATCAACTGCAGCCATTTTTGTTGAACTTTCAGTATCTGGAGCCAAATCCTGGGAACTTTGTGTCTATAGAGGATGGGACTGTGAAAGGAACACATAAAGGTCTGCTTTATGTAGTCTAATGAGTTTTAACATAAAGAGCTACCTTGTTTTCTATACATTTTCCTTTTTACTGGACTGTTTGTGATTTTTGTAAAGGCTGGTTTACTCTGACCCTGGGCCAGAGGGCGAGGATAGGTGGCCAGAGAGACGCCTGGTTCGTGGTGGACAAAGATATCGACACCGGTGATGTCTTTGTGGTGAGATTTTGTCATCTTTGAGACGCCTGGCTCATATTTTTTTCCCTCTTTATTTTTAAATCAAGGATGCATCAGTTCTCTCTTGTTCCAGGCTCCGTCTACCAATCACCCGTCTCTTTTCCGTGACACGGTGAAAACCGACCGCTTCCACTGGATCGCTGTGGACCCACCTGCAGAGCTAGTCAGGACCCAGATGATGGAGTGCCAGTTCCGCTTCATCCACCAGATGCCGCTCAGTGAGTCCTGCCTTTTCACAGCAGCTAAGCTGACATTAAGGTGATGCAGGTTCCCTCTGAATGTGTTTAATCTTTGCAGTTCCCTGCACTGTGACTCTAAACATGGACGGTTCAGTGTGGATTTCCCTTTCTCAGCCAGTCAGAGCTCTAACACCCGGACAGGTACCACCTCAGCACCCTGATGTTAAACTGTGCCGCTGTAAGACTTTCCTCCAACATTATTTCCACTAGAGTAAGTCTTTCCCCATATTAGTTTGCAGTGCTCTACAAAGGCGACGACTGCCTGGGCAGCGGGAAGATCATCCAGCTGGGTCCCAGTGAATACACGCTGCAGAAGGGCCGCGAGCGCCTGGTTGCTAATCAGCAACAAAACGATGAGCCTGCACCCGATCCAGCCAGCTGATAGCAGAGCTCTCAGTCCAACGGTCCTAGATGTGCAAGAAGACAAACCTAGAAACTGGAGAGGGGTGTTTAACGTGGATCTTACTAGACCTTGTGTTTTAACAGTCTTCATAAAGACAGAGCGGCGCCTTTATAAATCATCTGTATCCAAACATAAAAAGGCGACTTTACAAAAATAAGATGGTTTAGCTGTCTGTGCCAGAAAACACCCGCTCCAGTTCTTATTTATGCTGCATAGCATTTAATGTATTTAAGATGTGAAAATGTATAAAGGTATTTTTTATAAAACATGCAGAAATGAAGAAACTTTGGCTCCAACCAAACACATTAAAGGTATAGTGGAGGATGTTCTTTTTCTGGGTGGAAAAATAAGTGATCTTCCTAATTGTCAATCATTCTGGTGAGTTGTTCATACTGCCTACGTGATCGTACCGATTTTCAGTTACCAGTGGTGAGTCTGACATAGTGGAAAAATTGCAAATCTTCCTTTGGAAAGTAAGCTTGTATTAGTGATGCAAACAGCAGGTTTTAAACAGAGCATGCACGAGGAGAAATGTGCTCGTGCATGCTCTCGCACGTATTTAATACTGTAGGCGTTCCCTCTCAGGAGCGGGTACAGGGTTGTGCATGTGCATTTTTTATTTAAGTGCAGAGGGCGGGTCTCTTCAAAAATTAGGGAAAAATCATCCTCTATACTTTCAAGGAGTTCTACAAATGATCTGCATATTGTATTTCTTTTAAATGGCGAATTTATACGTCAGAAATAAGACATAAACCACTGCTCAAGCAAAAGCACAGGAGAAGCTTGATTTGATAAAATCTGTTCGTTGATGTTTAGGTTTTAGGTTTATTTTAAGTGGAGCGGTGACTCAGAACTGGTTATTTTTATGGAAGTCAGGAGGAGAACACTTGAAGCATATAAAGAAATAAACCTGCAGTGAAGCATGGTGTTGACAGTGATGCTTAGGGTTTAGGGTGCTTCCTCTGCTGCTAGAAACTTTATCAGGGCGAGACGGATCCCATCAAACCTTGTTTGGCTGGAACACAGCATAAGTTTTATAAAGCATGGTGAAGGTGGGATGATGCGGGCGTGTAATGTGAGGCCATCTAACAGCTAAAGCTTAACCTGAATTAGGTTGTACCACAAAGCCAGTGCCTTAAAACGCAGCAGAAAACCTACAGCTGGATGAAATTCAAAATAAGAAACCTACAGAAACTAAAAGATAAAATTAAGTATTTATATCACTAATGTGTTTCTCCTTTTTGGTCTCATCTCCCTGTTACACAAAAGGAAGTACCGTACAGAATATTTTGTTGATTTCAATCATTTTTATTGTTCCAATACTCTGAACCCTGGATTGTTCAATTTTCTTTTCAATATGTGATCTGCTCTTTTGGGAAAGAAAAATACTAACTTAAATAAAAACTGGTTTAAAGTAGCACTGTTTTTTTTCCCTGATATATATATATATATATATATATATATATATATATATATATATATGTATATATATATATATATACTCTAACTTATCCAAATATTTAATCAACTGTTCTTTATTTTTTGTTTGCATTAATTTATCAAACCATAAGGGAATGTAAAGGCCCAACATTCCTCACAGTAACGTACTTAGTTTTAAAATTTCAATGCACTTTTTGTGAGGTTTCTCTTTGTAATCTGTCATTTGTAAACTAATTATAGAAAGGAAAACCTTTCATATATTAGTACAACTTAAGGACTCCAAAGTGACATGTAATTGTTTTCTATAGTTCACTAAAGTTTAAATAAGATCAAGAAAATCTTGAGATGCCATATCTACTATGTTAAGATCGACTAATTGTTGATCTAAATATGCGATCCTGGTTTTATTAGAGGGCAGACCCAGGATTGAATTTTGGAAAGACATAATCAGTATTTAATACATCAGAAAAAATAGCCACTTTACCTTTTTAAATCAATAGATTAAAAAAACAAAACAAGACTACTAGTTGGGATAAGGTGTTGATCTACCTTATTACCACATGGTGGCGCCACTAATCCTGCTATGGTTACTGAAAATGTATAAATATATATATTTTTTGTTTGAATTCCTAGACACTAAAGCAAAGAATCACGTATGAGCTTTAACATAATACACAATTTTGTTGCATCTTATATTTTCAAATCATTATTGTAATCTTAAAATCATTATTAAACCCTTAATTGACTTGTTAAGATACAGGAACATTTGTTTTATTTATTCACAATACATGCATAGTTTTTTATTATTTTATACGTTTTCAAGTATTACAATAACTATATTGTAAATTCTTAACGAAATTAATACATTTCATATTACATCTATTACATTTACAATTCTACAGTGTTGGTAAATTGACAAAAAAGGTCCATTGTCAAAAAGTATAACAGCCATATACTAAAAACCCTATAACATTTTAAGTAAATCTTAAATTTTTTTAGTAAAATCCATCATATTTTCTCATTTGAAAAAATCTGCATGAATAAAAAAAATACCCAACTATAAATCTGGATTAACCATTATTGTATGAACAACGTTATTCAGCAATGAGAAGAATCTTTTATGCATTGTAGATATGTTTCATACACTTTTAAATGTATCACTAGGATAATAGCAGAGCAAGTTCATAATTATCATTTTTGATTAACTCCAAAGTATGATTACAAATACTCTGTTAATTCTTAAAGTAATAAATAAAAATAAATGTTTTTTTGAAAAAAGAATGAAGTTGCCATTCTTAAACCATCAGGGTATGATTGGAAATAATGTCTATTAATGTACTAAAATCATACATAAAGTAAAAGAAAAAAAGATTATTTCATTTTTGAGAAGTTAAAGCTATTAGTTCTGATATAAATCTACTGACTTTACTGTGATATAATTCTGTCTCCTTTTGGATAACATTAAGGCAAATAAGTTGATCTGCTCAAATCATGTGGCTCTTGTAATGTGAGTGATCCAAGTTTAAGATTAGTACATTTATTTTCTTAGTCTGCTATTTAAAACAATCTGTATTGCAAACTGCTCAAGTGGAAATTAACATTTTATTGTTTGCTGTCCTTAAAACTATAGGAATCTTTATACATTGTTAAAATTTGCATCCAGTGCGCAATTAAGCTTTTATTTTTGTTTAAGTGTGACAAACCCGGCTCTGCTGACCAGCATAGACTAACAGAACCCAAAAGTGCGCTCTGAAACTTTCATAAAGACATTTTATCCCTTTGATTTCTGCTTATAACTTTTAAAATAGAACGAAGGAAGCAAAGACGCTCAATGCGCACTGGGAATTTATTTATCCTTGTTTCAATAACAATGCGTCTGTGCGCATTAGTCACCCGGTCGGTGGCAAATCTCCATAAGAAAAAGCCCACCTCCTCCTCCTCCTCTCGGGAACGCGTCCCTGAGGGGGGGACGCAGCAGGTTTATGGAAATAAGCTAAGGAGGTGGAGGAGGAGAAGGAGGAGGAGGAGATCCACGAAGCCATTTTGTACCCATTTCAAACTCAGTGTGGCTTCCCTGTGCGCCATGGATACGCTGACGCCAAGGATACAGAGCGAATTTACCTGCGTTAAAGGTCCGCAATGAGGAATAAAAGTAAAACGCGGTGTTGGGAGAGGGAGAGTTAATCCAGTTTGGATCACTTTCGCTGAACCTGAGTGGGATCTGGCAGGTAACCGGACATGGAGCCGCCGAGGTGTTGGATTTGGGTCTGTGTTCTGCTCACGGTGCCGCTCGCAGGATGTTTGGAGACGCACCTTTCGGAGACTTTACAGCCCGGGAGTGTTTTAGCAAACCTGTCCCTGGGACCTGGGTGGATTTATACAATTGACAGGACTTTATCTCCAAACTTTATCCACAAGTTTTTCCAAGTGGAGAGGCGCAGCGGACTGATCCGCCTGTCCCACAGGCTGAAGTGCGCGAACACATCAAGGAACCCGGTGCCTGTTTACTTTAGGGCTGTGTCCTCAACGTCTGGAGACGCAACTCTCACGCATTTGAACGTGTTTGTCCACGGACAGGACTGCTTTATTAAGTACAAGAGAAAGAGTGAGCCAGACATTCATATTAAACACATTATGAAACTAAAGTCATCTTCCTGTTTACTGGCAGGTAAACTCTTATTGAATGTAAAGAAACTTTTGCCAAAATCTACACAAGGTATAAACCTTTTAAATACTAAATGTTATGGAAAAGACTTTGTTGCTGTTCTCAGGCATGGAGATTTGTTCCTGGTTAATGATTTGTGCCTTGAGCACAGAGAAAAAATGAGTTTAAAATGCACCCTGCATGGCTCTGCAGACAGCAAACTGTCTGTGCAGGTCATTTTGACGCTTTTACAAAATGAAATAACCCAGAAAGCCACAAAGTCTAACAAACTGAGGTGGAAGCGACAAGTGAACACACCTCCACAATTCCAGCTCGCCACCTATCAGGTGTCTGTACCAGAGAATGAGCCCCCATACACCCGAGTCATTACCTTGAAGGCAACTGATCCAGATGATGGAGAGGCAGGGAGGCTTGAGTACAGCATTGAGGCTCTGTTTGACAAAAGGTCTGATGATTACTTTCAAATTGATGCAAAAACTGGAAGCATAACAACCGTCCAGCTGCTTGATAGAGAAGTGAAGGATACTCATGTTTTCAAAGTTTCTGCAAATGACAATGGCACGCCGAAAAGATTTGCCACTTCTTACCTGACTGTCACAGTGAGTGATAAAAATGACCATTCACCGGTGTTTGAACAAAACAATTACAGCGAAAAGGTCAATGAGAATGTGGAAGTTGGCTTCGAGGTGATGACGGTCCGTGCCACTGATGGCGATGCCCCCTCCAATGCCAACATGGTTTATACAATTGTCAACAAAGATGATGAGAACTCCATCTTTGAGATAGACCCACGGAATGGCGTGGTAAGGATAAAAGAGCGGCCTGATAGGGAGACCAAGGCCGAGTACACACTCATTGTGGAAGCCAATGACCAGGGGAAGGACCCTGGACCTCGAACAGCCACTGCTACAGTTCGCATCGAGATTGGGGATGAAAATGACAACTACCCCCAGTTTAGTAAGAAGAGATATGTGGTACAGGTCCCAGAAAATGTAGCCGTCAACACTAAAATTGTCCAGGTAGACGCCACTGATAGAGATGCTGGTAACAATGCAAAAGTGCACTACAGCATCATCAGTGGAAACATAAAGGGTCAATTCTACATCAACTCCCCCACTGGAGTTATTGAAGTTATCAACTCTCTGGACTATGAAGATGTCCGGGAGTATAATCTGAGGATCAAAGCTCAAGATGGTGGAAGGCCACCACTGATAAATAGTACGGGGTTGGTGGTGGTACAAGTGGTGGATGTCAACGACAATGCTCCCATTTTTGTCAGCACTCCTTTTCAATCAACTGTGTACGAAAACGTACCCATCGGTTACTCTGTTAGGCACATTCAAGCAATTGATGATGATTCTGGAGAAAATGCTCGTCTGGAATACCAGCTCACTGACACAACACCTGGTTTCCCATTCGTCATCAATAACAGTACAGGCTGGATTACAGTTGGTGAGGAACTGGACAGGGAGACCATTGAATTCTACACCTTTGGCGTTGTAGCAAGAGATCATGGGATCCCTGCTATGTCATCATCAGCCAGCGTCAGCATCACAGTGTTGGATTTTAATGACAATGTGCCCACATTTACAGAAAATTCCTACTCTTTAAAGGTCAATGAAGATGCTGTGGTGGGGTCCAGTGTGCTGATGCTGACAGCTGTGGACAGAGACAAAGACAATGTGGTGACCTATCAGATCTCCAGTGGAAACACCAGAAACCGTTTTGCCATCACCAGCCAAAGCGGCGGTGGCCTCATCACCCTGGCCCTTCCTTTGGACTACAAACAAGAGCGACAGTACGTCCTGACGGTAACGGCTAGCGATGGAACACGCTCTGGCACAGCTGAGGTGTTCATCAACGTGACAGACGCCAACACACATCGACCTGTTTTCCAAAATGCTAACCAGCAGGTGACACTAAGTGAAGATAAGCCTATAGGCCACACCGTGACTGTGGTCATTGCAACGGATGAGGATACGGGGGAGAATGCTCGAATCACTTATATCATGGAAGATAATATTCCTCAATTTAAAATTGACCCAGATACAGGTGCTATCACAACACAGATGGAGATTGACTATGAAGTCGATGCATCCTACACTTTAGCCATCATTGCCAGAGACAATGGCATCCCTCAGAAATCTGATATGACCTATTTGGAGATAATTATTGATGATGCCAATGATAATGATCCCCAGTTTGACAGCGATATCTATAAGGGGAATGTAATTGAAAATGCAGACATCCGCACTAGTGTACTCAAGATCTATGCTACAGACAGAGATTCTGGTCTCAACAAAAGAGTGACTTATGCATTTCAGGATGGAGGTGATGGAGATGGGGATTTTTTGATTGAGCAAAATACTGGGATCATCAGAACAGCTCGCAAACTGGACCGTGAGAATGTTCCTGTTTACAACCTGAGAGCTGTTGCTATGGATAGTGGGGTTCCTCCTAGGAAGGCATTTGTTTCTGTTCATATTGAGGTCCAAGATATAAACGACAATGCCCCGGTGTTTGAGAAGGATGAGCTTTTTTTTTATGTGGAGGAGAACAGTCCTGTGGGGTCAGTGGTTGCCCAAATAACTGCCACAGACGCAGACGAGGGCACCAACGCAGATATTTATTACCAAATTGTGGAAGGCAATATTCCAGAGGTTTTCCTCCTTGACCTTCGCAATGGGGAGCTTACTGCTCTGACAGACCTGGATTATGAGACCAAAAAAGAGTACATCATTGTGGTCCAGGCCACATCAGCACCACTAGTGAGCCGGGCTACTGTGCATATCCGCCTTGTGGACATGAATGACAACAAACCTGTACTGCAGAACTTTGAAATCATCTTCAACAACTATGTCACCAACAAATCTAACAGTTTCCCAACAGGAGTTATTGGTAACGTACCAGCCCATGACCCGGATGTGTCGGATAAGCTGCGCTACAAGTTTGAATCTGGAAATGAATTATTATTTTTGCTGTTGAATGAAGACACTGGGGATCTGAAACTGAGCAGGGATCTGAATAATGACAGGGCTCTGGAGGCCCCAATGACCATCTCTGTCACAGGTGAGTGAAACCTTAATTTCTAAAAATATAGATTTTAAGCAAGTTTTTTCAAGGAAGAATATAGATAGAAATGGGGTGTTAAAGAGTTAGCAGGGCCAACACATACTATTCTGTTGGAGAGGGGCAGTGGCAAGTTTCAGTTAAAGTGTTGGCTGCAGGCTTTGTGCAGAACGGGTTGGTCTACTTTTAGGCGATAAATCTTTGTGTGTGAGTGGTTGGTTTAGGTAATAAAAAAGGTGCTATTATCGGGGCACCCTCATGGCTGAGCTGCTTTGTTGTCGCACTTTTGTGGTTTGCTGTCGAAAGAAGGAGTAAAACTATGTCAAGGATTTATTTCCTTAATTTTTTCAGCCTTCTGCCCAAGCACTGCAGTGGGACTTTGTGGACATCTTGAGGCAAGATGAACTTAAATGCAACAAAGGACTTGCTTTGCATACCTTCATGCACTTGTTACTCCCAGGATTTTTGAGATGGAGAGGTTGAAAATTGTGTGTGGAAAAGGGGTTTTGATCTGTAGGCATTCTTCCTGCAAGGTCATGTAGAAAGAATTCACTCTAAGTATCTGTTTTTTCAAAAGACAGAAGCAGACTTTGTTCTTTCAAGTTAAAGATTAGTGAGATTCAAGTACTTATGCATTCTCACCTTCACCGACAGGATTGCAAGAAAATCTCCTTAACATGAATAAGACTGCATTATAGAGTAACTAACCTGTCACCCACCATCAGTGTATTTCTCAACATCTTTTCTTTCTTTTGCTCCTTTTATTACTTATTCTGGCCTTGGGTTGATCTTGCAGAGCACATTAAGCCCAGAAACGGGCAAACAATCCAACACATTTATAGTTGTTAATTCATCTTTCTCTTTTTGTGTCCCTCTGTCATGTTTTCAACCATGTCAAACAGGCAAAATGAACAGAGGAGCCACACCAGGGTTTGTTAGGGAAACTAACATTTCCATTCAATCTAAAGCTGAAAATTCGCTAGCCGATGTTTACTATGAGTTGTCTTTATATGTTCGTTAAATCAAACAGCCAAACCTCTGACTTATTAATTAACTGAATCTGTGATTTTCCCTTAAGGAAAATTTTTTTCTAAGAGCAATTTTTCTAAATAAACCACCCTTTGTCATTGTTTCAGACACAAATAAAGGCAGATCTTTTTCTGTCTGTTTTATGGCTGTTACAATTGACACTCAGGGGATCCTAGGCAGTTACTCACCAGGTCACAGGCCTTATAGCCCTCATTCAGGACCCCTTGATTCATGCTTGTTAATAACCAACTGACAGGCTTTGGTGTATCCTTGACAACAGGGAGCTCTTGATGGTCCCAATGGGGGGCTTGAGCCCCGTCATTTACTTTATCCCTTCTACAGAAATAACCATGTGTTGGTGAACCATTCAACAGATGTACATGGAGACACTAAGGGGAGGTCTTACCTTTTATTTTTTAGGGTTCATGCTGATGTCAAGTGCTTAGTAACCATTACTTGATGCTGTGACCTCTTGACCCAAATGTCCAGGGCAAGGAGAGCCCAAGGGGACTTGAAGGCAATCAGGGTTTTAACGAGCTCTAAGAGACTGGACACCAAATGCATCCTGAAATCCATTGACTTCATTTCCCCTTGGCTACCTAAGTCAAATATTGCTTTCTTGTAGTTATTGTTTTGACAGTTTCTTGTTTGCTGCTTTATATATATATATATATATATATATATATATATATAT